TAGGCATCTGTCTGATTACTACTGAATGGTTAATAATAGGTAAGCCTGACTGGCTGCGATATAAACGTTGATTGGCTACATACGGAATGATTAGGTTGGATGATTCCAGGCGCATTACTGCTTTATGTCAGACAAGGTATGTAAAAATGAATATGTTAAATTTCTATGCACACCTTGCTTGACTTACAGCAATGTATGATTTAAAAATATTTATCATTCAGTGTTCAAGAGCAACGTGCAATTTAGGTTAGCTCCATGAGCATATCCTTTTCTTTATATGACGTGAATTCAATTAACAGAGCAGTTTTATTCATTTTAAGCTACGTTAGCTGAAAGCACAAGTGAGCTTGTTTGTAGTCCGTCCGTCTGTAAACCTTTTACATTTTCGACTTCTTTTCAAGAACCACTGGGTCAATTTCTATCAAACTTGCCACAAACCATCCTTGGATGAAGGGAATTAAATTTGTTCACATGAAGGGTCACGCTCTCTTTCAAAGGGAGATTATTAAGAATTAGTGCAAATTAAATGTCGCCTTTAAAAATTCTTCTCAGGAACCACTGGGCCAGAAGAGATGAAACTTGTGTGAAATTATATAGTATTACAAGTGTAAATTTAAGTTTGTTCAAAAAATGACCCCCGGGGGTACGGTGGGGCAACAACAGGGGATCAAAGTTTTACATTGGAATATATAGAAAATATATTTAAAAATCTTCTTCTCAAGAACAGCAAAGCCATCTTTAGTCATATTGATAGAGAATCATCCTCAGGTAGTGTAGATTCAAATTTGTTTAAATCATGACCACAGGAGCTAAGGCGCGGGCCACAACAGGGTGATCAAAGTTATACGCATGAATTTATATGGAAGATCTTCTAAAAATCTTCAGCAAAGTCATAATTAGTCATATTATCTCAGAAGCATCCTCACGTAGATTTAATTTTGTTCAAATCATGACTCCTAGGGTTGGGCTGTGCCACACCATGGGATCAAAGTCATACATAGGAATATATAGCGAAAGTCTTTAAAAATCTTCCTCTAAAGAACAGATAGGCCATGATAAGCCGTATTAATACATATTAACAAAGAAATATCCTCAGGTAGTGTAGATTCAAGATTTTTTCAAATCATGACCCCTGGGGGAAGGGGATCAAATCTTGTTTTCAAACACAGCAAAGTCATAATTATTCAAATTCATTGTTCATATTTATATGGAAACATCCACAGGTAGTGTACATTCAAATTTGTTCAAATCATTACCCCCAGGGGTAGGGTGGGGCCACAATGGGCGATCCAAGTTGTACATAGAAATACAAAGGAAAAATCTTTAAAAATCTTCTAAAGAATAGGAAAGCTACGATTAGTCATTTTAATAAAGAAGCTTTATCTGGTAGTGTAGATTCAAGTTTCTTCAAATCATGACACCTGGGGGGAGGTTTGGGTCAGAACAGGGTTCAAAGTTTTACGTAGGAATATATAATTAAAAAAATCTGCTGATGAAGTGTAGATTCATGTTTTTTTCAAACACGTCCCCCAGGGGTAGGACGGGGTCACAATAGAAGATCAATCTTTTACATAGAAATATACGGAAAAATCTTTTAAAGTCATGATTAGTCAAAGAAATATGGATTATAATGGAAGCATCCTCAGCTAATAGATTCAGGTTTGTTCAAATCATGTCCCCCTGGAGGTAGGTTGGGACCACTTATACATGTACATTTGAACTTTTCAACATTGAACTTATTTCTGCTTTCCTGTAGCCAAAGTGGTCAGGTCATCGATGTGACCCATGGGCCTCTTTAGATATTTACAATTATTTATCAATTTATCAATTTTTATCTCACAAAGGTTAGAAGTGTCCTTCAGCTGTCGACATATGAATGACCTTGGTGACTGGTCCCAAACTGTAGACAGCAACACTCCTCCTTTTCGTAGGCTAAAACTCGGGATTACGTACAATGACTACACTGTTGCCCTTGTATTTCAGGGTAAAAGTAGCACATCCATCTCGTTCCTGTTTATCCTCCGTATACATCGGCAAAGTGATTGGCATCAACAGATCGGTCACTCCACTAAGAGAGGGAAAAGGTTGTTAATATTGTGTATCTTGTCTGGAATTTAATGATTTAAAAAGTAAATGACGGCAATGGACACGTTAAATACAATGATCTTAATTTAAAAGATTCTTGAAAAATAATGTAACTACTTCCTACATCAATTAATTCAGTATTTGAAGAACATAAAAAATAGTTACTTCCTCATTTCCTTATAAAAGTTGATTTTGGTTCTCATTGCATAATATGCCTTAATTATTACATAAGTACAACATACAGCTAAAGTGTTGACTTGGTAGAAACTCTCTCTCTCGCTAAATAAACCCACTAAAGGGTGTAGCTCAGCCCTCTAATAAAACCTGGATCCATTCCATATCACTCCACCTACAATTGTAAAAAGAGGGAAGACGTTTTTAATATAATGTACCTTCTATGGTATGTATTGATTTACAAACTAAATGACGGCAATGGACACATTTAATATAATCTAAATTTAGAACATTCTTATACAATGATGTAACTACTTCCTACATCAATTGATTCAGTATTTGAAGAACATCAAAAATAATTTCTTCCTCATTTCCCTGTGAAAACTGATTTCGATTCTCATTGCAAGATGTGCCTTTATCATTACATAAGTCCAACAAACGGCCAAAGTGTTGAATTCGTTGATGCTTTCTCTCCCCTTGATTAAAGTCACGAAGGAGTGTGGCCCAGTCCTCTGAAAAAACCTGGTTCCATTCCAAATCTAGCTGAAATAGTTAAGTATTGTACATATTAATAGTATAGAATGTGTCTACTGTATAACATAATAATGTAAAAAAAAAAAAAATCATCGGTATTTTCATAATTAAAGTTTCTGGTGAAGTTTTCTAATTTTTGATACTGTGTGTTGTCCTTAAACATATTTTGCTGCGTTGTAATTAGATAATTGTAACTGGTTAAGAAGGAGTGCCCCTTGCTTACAGAATTCACAAATCTCTATGTTTCCTTTTTTTTCATTTTTCAGCAATGATTCATCTAAAATTTTACATTCTATGCTATAGGGCCTATTAGATTTACTTGAATTTCAATTTTTATCTTTATGTTTTAATTTAAAATATTATAACAACACGATTTGAGTGAGCGGAGGCTAATTATCTTATAATGGTTATGCTCCTCTTGAGAACCCCCCCCCCCCCCCAAATTCCTACATATTCCTAAATAATTTGTTCCACCTTACCCTAGGATTATGATTTGAATAAGTGTAAATCTGCACTACCCAATAATCCTTGCACATTAATATTACAATCCATGGCCATGCTAAACTTTTAAATGTTTTCCCCTAAATAGTCCCATGAAAAATTTTGATTACTTTATTTTGTCCCCATTACACCCTGGGGGGCTATATATGAAATCTAAACTTTGTTACATGTATGAAGCTATATAATAAGTTTTATCTTTTCTAGCTGAGTGCCTCAGTACATTTTGATGTATAACCGCTGTTCTGCAATTTTTTTTATAATCTCCCATTGGACAGGCACTTCGTTTAAACAAGATTCTAGTGAGCTAAAAACAAAAACTTGAATTCAGTGGTAATGTTTGCATATCTATAATATAGATAGTGTGTTAGTGTTGCCCTGCTTATTTCACTTTTTTTTTTTTTTTTTTTTTTTTTTTTAGAATTTCGAGATATTTCCATGTACAACTTTAAATATCTATTTTAATCCTAGATCTTAATTCCAATGATTCGAACAAATATGAATCTGCATTGCATAAGGATTTTTATGTAATTGTTGCGCTGCACTGTATTTGAGAAGAGGATTTATAACGATTTTATTCCTTCTAAGTGAATGTTTAATTCCATATACGGTAATAACACATCATTAGCAATACAACTGTATCTTTTCAAATCCCTAAAGTATTCTACAAGGTAGCACATGTCTTTGTCGGCACCCACCGCCCCGTAAAAATTTCCATAGATCAAGTTTAACGTGTATTATGAACTATTAAATTACAAATAAAAGGAAAACTGTCCTATTATATGTGCATATCAAAATAAGATGAATATTATGTTTAGTTCAATTTATTAACTCAACCTATGCATTATGGAATATGAGAAATATACAAAACATTTAATCATTATCTTAAATTATCAGAGGTACTTACATGCATTATATTTCATTACGATTACATTTAAGGAAAGCTCAAGTGAGTGAAATGCATCGGCAAGTTTTACAATATCGACCTACATTTGGCTAATTGATGGCAAAAAATTCTGAAGACATTTGCCTACAAGATGTCACTTTACTTGTCTAAGATTTAAAAAAAAAAAAAACATTCAATAAGCTAAAAAAGTAAAAACTGAATTTAGGGGAAAATGGCTATCATTGATAAGCTCATTGATACACTTAAGTTTCATGGGTAAATTGTCTTAAGAATTTTTGTGATAAAATACTTCAAAAAGCTGTTTTAGAAAACGCATTTTTAATGAATATCTTCCATTATTTGGACAAGAAAATCTTTCTGGTTAAAAAACCTTTTTCTACATATATTTCTTTCTGCTAAAATTTCATGAAAATGTTTGTTATGGAGGTTATATGTAAGATTATATTTTACTCTTAAAATCTCTAAATTTCAGGAGATATCGGCTGTTTCGCCCCATGGCCTCTTATATATTTTTCACAGCCCCTCCCCCTCAACTGAAATTCGTGGATCCGCCCTGCAAACTTGCTGCGTTTTCAATCCAAATGACCTTCTATTGTAGATCATAAGCAAATGTTCAATTATTTAAATGTAGATGTATAATATTTGTTTGTTTTGAAATTATTGATTTTCATTTCTACTATTTCTTTATAATAGAGATCTTACATAATAAATGAATCTTAAAATGAAAGTATGTATGTGTAGTGGGATTTTTTGTACTAATTATTTAATAGTACCTAAAACTTTTTAGATCATACCTGTCAAAATGGATTCCATTAGAACTTCACAAATGTAAGTTTTAATGATAGCCAGCAATATACTAGTCTAAAAATGCCTACACTCTCTAAATCGGTACATGTATATTGTGTTGACAATTTTTTGAATTTATATACACACAGGGCAAAACAATCTTAAAAGATTTTTTTTCATTTAATTTTTCAAAATTTGAATGATAAGTTGCGAACAAATGATACATTTAAAACATTATTTTGATCAAAAGATTGATATAACACCGCTTTTAAAGTAAAATATAAATAATGTGTGATGATTACTGTGTACTGTGAATTCACTAATTGTCGTTGGGGTTCAATTTTTGTTGTTTTCATGGTATGAAGATACCCACGAATTCATATCCTCCACGAAATGTAAAATTTCAAATTTCTAACAATTTAGCACTTCTTCAACCTCTAAATCAAGTTCTCTCAAATCAGTAGTTTTTTCTTCAAACCAAGAAAGTTTGTCCCAACGAAAATATGTGATTTCAGAGTATTTACTTACAAGTAAGTGGTCATTCTATATTAAAACATTGAAATTGCCTTTATTCATTGCCAGTAAGGCAGTCATACAACATGTATCAGAGTCAGTGTTTGTGGGACTGTGTCATAAACTGGGGACCTCACAACAAGTGGCCACGAGGAGAGATGTGATGGACATCAAGGATATGGTTTCAAATCAAGTGACAACAACTCATGAGAACAGTTTTATTGTGAGTGGAAGTCGCAGAGAAGGATTCAGACTGAAAGAATCAGATAGAGATTTTATGGCCTGGCCAAATGATCATCGTGTGATCTGGGATTTATCTCAATCTCGATATTACAACACATACAGGCAAAAACTGATCCTCTGTGACTGTTCTAATAGTCCACCGGGATTCACTTTGTTATTTTCACTGTCATCAAGCATTAACAGAAAAATCCAGAGAGCCTGTGTTAGAATGAATGACAGGCATTATATATCTAGTACTAAATACAGAGAGATTCTGTGTTCGGTATCATCACGATTTCATCCACATGGTCCCTGTGTCAGTGGAATTTTTGGAACAACAGAATATGACTGTGCTAACTGTTTTGTTTGTGATTTTTGGCCTCCATCTGCCTCCTCCTGGATAGATAGATGTGATTCATGGCCCAAGTCTCATATTGTTGATGATATAGTACAAAATGGATGTCATGTTGTACCGATTGGACATAAACTAGGAAATCATGAGCACAATGAATGGAGAATTTCATTCTCTTTGGCAGAACAAAAACTTGTCTACTCAATGAACCACTGTCAATTCTCAACTTATGGCCTACTTAAATTGTTCTTAACAGAACTTATAAACAAAGGATTACGTGATGATGATAAATTACTGTGTTCCTATCACATGAAGACTTCAGTTTTCTGGGTGATTCAAAAAAATTCAATACCTGAATGGTGTCCACAAAATCTCTTGGATGGTTTCTGGGTCTGCTTTAAACTCATTCTCAAATGGGTGCATGAGGGGGTCTGTCCTAACTTTTTCATTCCAGGTAACAACATGTTTCTCAGTAAAATTCATGGTGAAGCACAGCATCAATTATTTATTAGACTGTATGGGTTGTATGAGAAAGGTTTAGCATCCCTGCTACACATTCCCTCGATTGGGTCTTGTATTATAAATGTCTTTCATAACCCCAGGCTCTCCATTTGTACACATGAACATTCCCTGACTTCTGAGAGTTATTTTGATGTAAATCTATTTCACGAAATACATAGCAGCGACATATTAATCTCATTAAACCTACAAGACTGCATGAAGCATCTACATACAATAGAACATATGATAGGTTCACTCCTCTTGACAGAGTGTCAAGTCATTATGCTACAGAAACTTACAGCTTATGTCCTTCAAAAAAATGCTTTTATATTACACATGAAGACTTGTATACTTAAAAATAAACCGAGATATGGAGCTGACAAAATTTCCTGTCACATGCTGAAATTAGCAGCAAATTTTGGTTGTATTACTGATATGCTGTATATAGCCATGTATTATTACAATACACTTAGATACATGAAAGCTTTATCTATTGTAGAGATTATCAAGGTCAAGTTAGCACAGCCATATGTAATGCTCTATAATGTAGATATAGATATGTATAACGAGGCTATGAGGGGACAGACTTGGTCAACAAAAATGAGACAGGCTGTTGCATGGAATATCACAATTTGCAATCAAATCCATTACATCAGTGAATTGATACCAGAACAACAGTCTTGTTTACAGAGCCATATATTTTTAATAAATGTTCCACCCGTTATACTGTTATACATGCTAGAGATTTTGTGTTACAGACATGTAGACACAATGAGAGCACAAACGGCTCTAGATGATCTTCAGACTCTAGTTCACAATGATAAAGGAGAACTTATAGATTTAAAACTCAGAGACATATCATGGCAGATTCTTGGGATTTGTCAACAGGTGACAGGGAACCTCCAGGCTGCTCTGTATTCATACCATCAATCTCTCAGAGTACCACTTCACAAAATACAAACAGCTACAGAACTGAGAATACAGGGAATTTGTCAATTAATGCAAAATACTTGAGAAAGTGCACATGACAGAGTCTGTAAGTTTTAAAATAAGTTTCTTCCAATCTTTGGGTCCTAAAGACTCGGGCATAACAGTGAAAGACACAATTTATAGAAAGTGTAAGTTCAAAAGGATTACACCGACTTTTTGCTTAAAAAGCTCTATATTTATCATTATTATACCCCTCCTGGCCAGTCACAGTGGCCAAGCACTCATATGTGATCTCGAAGTCTAGGTGTAATTCTCGTGACTGGCATTTTAATGTTGTTTACTACAAATGTGCCGTTTGTTTATGTTTATTCATATATTTCTTTGAATGTATGCCTGTCTGAAATCTTCAAAAAGGTGACAACCTATATATTTTCTGTAATACTTAAATGTATTAAACTTTATTTAATGGAAATTAATGCAGTTTTTCTATTTTAAGCATTTAGTGTGAAGGTGGGGACACTTAATGATGTATTAAAATGATCATACTAAACGATAATAAAGTTTAATAATAAAAAAAAAACTTTCCAGGTGGTTCTAGAGAAGAAGTAGAATGTGAAAAATCCATGCAGGTCATACATATCAAATACGGAGATAACGAAAGTTATCAAGCTCAAAAGTCCATTGAAACAATAAAAATAGGGAGCAGAACAGGTACCTCTAAAAACTTCAGAGGTGGGATCACATGCCATGGAGGAGTAAACATTCCCTGCCGACTGGTCACACCCGCCGTGTGCTCCTTGTCATTGTATCAACCATAGAACTTGCCAAAATATACTACCAAAAAATATATACAAATATACATGCAACAAGAATGTTTGAGAAACATATTTGCCCACCGTGTGGCACTATTGAAAAGGATCAACTTTAAATTAAGAATTTCTGTACCCTTAAAACTTAATAACCAATTGGTACTCAGGGGTCTAGAATTACGTTTTCCCGTTGCCCGGGGCAAGTGAAATGTCATCTCGGGAAAGATAGTTTTCAGGATAAACTTACCCGAACGGGAAAGTAATAAATTTCAGGCTGAGCCAGTAAAACTTTTCGAGTTTATTAAAAGAATTCAATAACAATAAACATTCAATTACATTTTATTAGAATCTGCACAAGTCTGCTACATTTCGTTTCTCCAATACTTATCATAGGAAGTCCAGTTACTCGTATAATATCGGAACCAATCCGGAAAGATCTCAAAATTACGGAAGGGCTTTAAAAACAGAAACGATTTTGGAAACAATGTGTTGTCAATATGTGATTAAATCAATAGATATTTTAACAAAATAATAAACAAGTACATAATAACTGCTTTTAAGTGGCGTATATATTAAAACCTCACAATAAAAAAATATCAAAATAGATTTGTTTATATTTTTCTAGATTTTAGTTTTGAGTTCTGTTTTGGGTTAATTAATGATACGTTTTCAAATAAACAGATCAGCAAAATTCAATGATTTTCTGATATGTTTTCCAAAAAAAAAAAAAAAAAAAAATAAATAAATAAATAAATAAATAAATCAGTAAAACTAGATGATTTTCTCTATCTTTTTGGGGGCAAGTGAATTTCAAAAAAAATTCCCCTGGTCTAGAAATTTTTTTTGAAATTCATTTGCCCACGGGCAAGTAATGACTGGGAATCCACTTGCCCAGTTTCAAAATTCACTTGCTTCACTACTTCACTATCTTTTTGGAGGCAAGTGAATTTCAAAAAAATTCCCCTGGTCTAGAATTTTTTTTGAAATTCACTTGCCCACGGGCAAGTAATGACTGGGAATCCACTTGCCCAGTTTCAAAATTCACTTGCCCCCAAAAAGATAGAGAAAATCATCTAGTTTTACTGATTTTTTTTTTTTTTTTTTTTTTTTTGGAAAACATATCAGAAAATCATTGAATTTTGCTGATCTGTTTATTTGAAAACGTATCATTAATTAACCCAAAACAGAACTCGAAAACTAAAATCTAGAAAAATATAAACAAATCTATTTTGTTATTTTTTTATTGTGAGGTTTTAATATATACGCCACTTAAAAGCAGTTATTATGTACTTGTTTATTATTTTGTTTAAATATCTATTGATTTAATCACATATTGACAACACATTGTTTCCAAAATCGTTTCTGTTTTTAAAGCCCTTCCGTAATTTTGAGATCTTTCCGGATTGGTTCCGATATTATACGAGTAACTGGACTTCCTATGATAAGTATTGGAGAAACGAAATGTAGCAGACTTGTGCAGATTCTAATAAAATGTAATTGAATGTTTATTGTTATTGAGTTCTTTTAATAAACTCGAAAAGTTTTACTGGCTCAGCCTGAAATTTATTACTTTCCCGTTCGGGTAAGTTTATCCTGAAAACTATCTTTCCCGAGATGACATTTCACTTGCCCCGGGCAACGGGAAAGCGTAATTCTAGACCCCTGTTAGACCCCTGGTACTCCTTAGGGGGAGAAAGTGTAAAAAGTTTAATGTCCGTAATGCAAAGGGTCCTTAGATATTTAGCAGACGTTCCGCCCAATGTCTTTCTATGTCCAGAAAAATTTTACCCTTGATCTTTGGAACTAAGTTTCAATAGGGGTTCATTTATTCTCAGTGTACCTTGTCTGACGTCTAAAGTTCTCAAGACACTGAGAAGACAATATCTTCCAATCTCCAGAAAATTTTAACAGGATTCCTCTACTTCGTAATATAATGGGTACTTTGGATATTTCCCTATGTGCAGTGCAATTTGACACTTGACCTTTTACCTTGTTACCTCAAAATTAATAAGCCTCATCTACTTCTTAAAGGATACTAGTATACCAAGTTTGATGTCTTTTCAGTAAAAGGTTCTCAAGATATTGATCGGAAAACTCTTGGTCTCCCGACTGACCGACATATATGCCTCCTATTTCATAGAAAGACAGACGTACAATTATACATATGGACAAATACATGTTCATACCCTGAAAACATCTTTAGAAAAGATCAATTGAGCATCTGTTTAGGTGCCCCACCCCCACCCCACTCCCTCATTATAGTCCTTAGAGAAAATTGCCTGATTATTCTGAAAGTGACCTTCTGTACCATTTTTTTTTTTTATAAATATCAATAAAATAGAACAGAACAATTTATGATTCCATCAAAACTTTTATATTTATTTGTGAGTATGGTCGTGTCGTTATTATTTTTTTTACACTTACTAATTTCATGTTGTTGTTTTAGTTATTCATTAAATATGATAAATGTCAATCAATGTAGTAGCATCCTAATTATTCCAAAGTGTCAGAAATTCCCATCACCAATTAGGATTTCACAAGTGAAAGTAAGAGGCTCATGGGCCACAATACTCACCTAAGTCATTCTGGACTTGCTGTAGTTCTTCAAAAGAAGTTACTTACAAAATTTTCCCCTATGTTCCCATGAAAATTTTGAGCCAATTATGTTGCCCAACCCTAACTGCAAGGGGTCATGATAATTTAATCAAATCTATCATAGCTATGATGAATATTAATATTAATAATGTGGCATTTCTATTCTGGAAAAGGAGATTTTTAAAGATTTTCTTCTAAATACGTGTTTTATGTCAAAACATCTCTAATTATAGCCACCTCCTAATTCTAGATCCATAATTTAAAAAAATAAGAATCAATACGACTTAGGATTGTTTGCATAACAATATATGTTATCATATATATATAGCTCTGCTACTCTTGGAAATTTGTAACAAGATCTTTTTTTCTTCAATTTTTTTAATTTCAAATTTGAATCCCATAACTCTTTTACCTCGTTGATGTTGATCTGACCCCTCCCCCACTTTTCTGATTTTAATCTAAATCTCCACCTTGTGGGTATTGGTCTGAACCCCAACCTTGTTGATATTGATCTGCCTTTTGATTTTGATCTGCCCCTTCTACTCTGTTGATGAAGATCTGACCCTCCTTCCTGTTGTAGACCCGACCCTCTTATCTTAATAATTAATATGACACTCCTTCCATGTTGATGTTAATTTGACACCTCTACTTTGTTGATGTTGATCTGATCCTCCTACCTTGTTGATGTAGGTCTAACCCCTTCCTTTATTTATGTTGATCTGACACTTCTACCTCATTGATGCTGATCTGATCCTCCTATCTTGTTGATGTAGGTCTAACCCCTTTCTTTATTAATGTTGATTTGACACTCCTACCTTGTTGATGTTTATCTGACACTTCTACCTCATTGATTCTGATCTGACCCTCCTATCTTGGGTTATTTCAATAAATAAGATATATTCATAATTCACACAGTAACTGGATTTCAAAATAATATATAAAATTACAAAAGATTTAATCTATGAAATTTAATGTTTTATTGAACATTGATTCATGTTTTTAAGCCATGTTAAAAGTATATGTAACACATCAGAAAACATAGACTAGAATGAAAGAATCAGAAACAAACATAATAATGTTTTGGTATGAACAAAAATCAATATTTATTCATGGAAAAGAGGTTAAAAACCTCCTGCTGGAATTAATTTCCTGTCGGATATTAAATTGTTATTAGAATTTATAAAGACCTTATACAGCTTTTATTCGGGTTTAAACGCATATAAGTAATTATAACAAGAATTTTTCTTAAAGTCACCCTTGTTCTACGTACAGGGAGTAAAGAAATAATACTTGATTGAGTGTATGTTGTTTAACTCCAATTCGAGAATTTTGCACTCATTTAGAACCGGTCATGGTAACCTAGTGGTAGGGCGTTACCTTCGTGATAGGGGCGTCCTGGTTCGATTTTTGTTCGCCGAGTCAAACCTAAGATTACAATACAAATGGAAAATACAGAATACAAATAAATGTTACACCTCCAAATGGAAAATTATAGAATCCAAATGGAAAATGATAGAATACAAATAAAATGATACAATACAAATGAAAAATTATACAATACAAATGGAAAAGATCGAATATTGCAACGTTTGACATGCCATACAAGTACAGCCTAATACACGTGCAAACCAGTGACAGTTTCACATACTGTACACTGTCCTACCCTGTCGAAGGCAGTGA